GTCCCCCGATTCTACCCCAAGGGACAAGGCAGAGTAGAGTGGCCTTGGGCAAAGGACTCGGAAAACACAGGACCGCGATGGGAGGAGCAATGGGGAATCTGATGTGATTTTCAAGGCACTGTGTCCTCGCTTATTTCTCGTTTGCGGAGGGGGCGGGGAACAGTCTCTCTTCTCTTCCCTCACACACACCCTGAAGCATCCCCAGGCCACTGAGACTCCACAGACCTCTGGGGGCTCACTCTGGGTCCCTCTCCACGTACACACTGCCGGCAGCTCCTGGGGAAGGCAACTCGGCTGGCTGTGCGGGGCCAGGTAGGGCAGCCCGTTCTGGGTTCCGAGAAGCCCGGCTGGTCTCTCCAGAACTCAGGGCCAGGCCGCATGGCGGGGGAACCTGTGGGAAGGAGGGGAGCACCAGCGGCTGGGGCGTTCTCTCCTTGGTTCCCAGCTGCCTGTTCTTGTCTACTGCACCAATTAGAAGCCAGAGGAAGCAGCCATCTCAGCTCAAACTGGGGGCCAGAAACTTTCCAGAAAGAGCCTTCTTTTCCAGTGTCTTTCTCAGGTCCGACTGCGAGCCTCAGAGAAAACAAAGTTGTCTGCTATGAGGACTGGCCAACAGAACTTTCCACAACAAAGGGAGGAGGGGCAAGGGAGAGGCAAACTTTTTTCCATTAGGTCAGAATAACTTCTCCATGATATCAGGACATCAAACTGAAGAGTGTTGAGGGGCACACGGGAGATCAGCAGTCCTGCTGGTGGATTATAAATAACAGATAACTTTACACATAGTTCCTTGCCTAGGCCAGGCTTTGAGCACTGCCAGTAGTAAAGAATGCTAATGCGCTGAATCAGGCTGATACAAAGTGCAACATTGTATCTGATCGCACTCAAGACATGTTTACTCAGTTCACCTCAGCATTTCCCAGTGCAGGTGGGTGAATGAACACCAGTGTGTGTGACCCCGACGCCAGCAAGCCTCTCTGGAATGCCAAGACAGTCCCTGAGAATTTTCCTCCTCCTCCCACGGAGCCACGAATCAGCCCCCTAAAGAAACGCTGGCGCGTCTCACTGGCCATCGAAAATGGGATTCCCCCGAAATAGCACGGAGGACAGGACCTGGTATTTCATAGTGTTTTAAAAGTAATATTCTGTTTGTCAGTGCCGTGAAATAGGGCACCAGGAACGTTACAAGAAATAAAAAGAGTAATTTCTCAGTGGGGAAGGTGCTTGTTTCCATCTCAGGCCCGGATTCTGGAATGTGGATCCTGGACACGTCGGTCAGCCCGGAGTGGCCGGATCCGAGCTGGCGGAGGACCAGCCCCTCCCACCTTGCACATCTGGAATTGGCATCAGAGGAGGCTGAGGTCTCAGGAAGTTCTCACACTTCACGACTCATTAAATGTGGGGCTTGGATTCCTCGGGAAAGGGGACGACGGAAGAGTTGTGGGGGGGTGGGGCTGAGGGTAGGTGCCCTCAGCCCGGCTCCCCTGGCAGCAGCTGGCCCGGAAGGAGGAGGCCATGATCTCGGGGGGCCTCCGCTCCCAGGCCTGCAAACTCTTCCAGGGCCCAAGTCGGTGGGGCAGGCCTGAGGCGCCTCGGCTGGGGTAGGGGGCCCTCGGGTTCCGGAGAGCCCCAAGTCCTGTTGGAGGGGGAGGGCGGGCCCTCGGCGGAATGGACAGAGGGGGTAGGCGAGGCCACCTCTCCGACTAGCACGCCGGCCTCCGAGAGTGGTGCCCTGGGGTCGAGGACCCAGCGGCCGTAGCCCAGGGGTCTGCAGGGACTGCCTGCCCTACTCCCCTGGGCGGGTTTCACTGGGAGGCCCCTGGGGCCAGGGGCCTCCAAGCCTCCCCTCCACACTTCCATGCGATGCTCACTGATCGCGCCTTAATATCTGAAGGGGATAAAACTGGGGTGCTTGAAATTACAATTGCTTCTACTTAAATTTATTTGATGGCCGAGCATTCCCGTTATACATCCGTATATGGGTTTTCAATATCTTAAATGTTTAAAAAGGTTTTATTCTGTACTTACACTGAGTGAAATTAAAAAGAAACAGTAAAATGTTTGAAAATGAAGTGCATTCTGCTTAATAAATTCAAAGTGAACAAAGACTGCTGTATCGCCAGCAATATCCTTCCCTGCCCAGGGCCATTAATAAAGACTGGAGGTTTGGAAAAACAATATTTTCTATTAAAATTCTGCGCTGTGTTTCAATATTAAAAGGATATGTGATGAATTTCCAGTGTTACCCAGACGGGGTCAGAGATTAATTTCATTTCTTTCTGGTCAGCATTCTGTCGATAATTAATCAAAAGCAGAGTTTCTTAATGAAACACTTTTCATAAGGTGATAATTAGCAGGAAAGAGGCGGCCCGCAGACAGTCCCGCGAGCTGTCTAATAACAGGCAAGGCGCAGGGCTGAGTCCTGGGGCCGGGGGCGGGGCCGCGGGGACACCGGCTCCCCCGGGAAGGCGGGAAGGCGTTGAGCAGCGGTAAATCGGTAAATCGAGTCCCCGCTCAGCCCGGCCCGAAGCCTGAGCCGCGCTCAGCTCAGCTCGGGTCACAGAGGAACCAGGAAAAGGGGGGCGGCCCAGCCCTGCCTCGCCCCAGGGCGGCCACTGGGACGCTGTGTGACTTTAGGCAAGTTCCGTTTCCTCTCTGGGCCTCAGCGGTCCCTCATCCGGGAGGAGCAGCTCAGGCCAGGGCCTCGGCCCTGGGGCACGGAGTCCAGCCTTTGTCCTGGCCCTCGACCCTGCCTGCAGAGCTCCGGAGGTTAGGGCCGGCGATCCCCACGTCCCCGCCCCGGCTCCTCTGTGCCGGGCCGCTGCACCCCGCCAAGCCAGCGGGGCGGCGGCGAAGCCTGGGAGGCCTCACGGAGGGAGGGGGAGCGAGGGAGGAGAGGGGAGCGGGTGGAGGCGTCCGCAGACTGAGGGGGATTATTAGTGCATTATAAAATTACTAAAAATAAATGGGAAACAATTAAGGGGTTCAAGAGTAAATAAAGTTAATGAAACAAAATTAGCAGCAATTAGCGGCGGCGCCCGCGCACCCTCGCTCGCTCCCCGCAGCC